AACGCGGGGATGACGATAATGCGTCATTGACGCCGCGAAGATCGAAACGCCTACGGTTCCGCTGGCGCACACGTAGTCCCCGCAACCGCGTGGCGCAAGCGAGATGACAACCTGCGTCATTCCGGGCCTCTAATCACTTCTAGTACTTCCCTTCGCGAGTTTTACAATTACATGTTACTTTGTCTCGGGATAAACGCATAAAAACAGTGGTTAAAACTTCCTCAATGTGCTACGTTAACGATTGACTATGTTTTACTCTGCTCTGGTGGCGCCATTTTGTTTCTACATGATCCACCTTTTCTGCAATGCATATGTTTAAATAATTTCTCGACACATTGAATACAAGGAGGAAGAGAAACACACACATACATACATACACACAGATAGAGAGACAGACAGACAGACAGAAAGACAGACAGACAGACAGACAGACACACACACACACACACACACACACACACACACACACACACACACACACACACACACACACACACACGAAAGAATGAGTTTTTGAAACCTCAATCCTTGGCTAATAACTCTGGTACTTGAAGGCATAGCTACTTCTTGTTCTTTTCTGAGATGGTATTAGGTGCTTAGTAGTTGGTACGTCCACCAGTCATTTTGTACATCATGCATAGTCTGGACATTTTTCGTCCGTCTTACAGTGACACCCACTGTGCTATCATCTCTATCACAAAAACTACCCAATTTCTCCCAGGCAGTTTTACAATGACAATACTGGTACGGCGAGTCCACGTGAGTCACGGAAAGAAGCTATCCAATACAGTGTCATACAGCGGAGTTTCTCATTATCAAGCCTTGGCTATCTCGGAACTTCAACAGAGGAAAAAACACAGTGAAGTTCGTCACGTTTCAACGTACGGCAACGACATGTGCCAGTGCCAAGTTCGTACCATCAAAGTGTTTGTTTCGTGTATTTAGATGAAGGGCTTCTCAGGTTTTGTTCAACAGAGGAAAAAACACACACTGAAAGTGCGTCAATGTTCAACCTACGGCAAGAACACGTGTACGTGTCGAGTTCACGCGATCTCCGTGTTTGTCTGGTATTTAGTAAAGGGCTTCTCAAGTTTTGCACCCAATATTTAATAGGCTGTTCAGCACCTCACGTGTATGTATGTTTTTGTATCTCAGTAGGGCCACAGCATGTAAATTTTATGGATGACATCCTCCATAGACTCCAAATCTAATGCGGTAGGGCGAAAAAAAAACAAGCTGGGCCAAAAAACAAGATTACAACATTTTCAAATTCATAAACCTTGTTAAACCATGCTGCGACAGTATGGGATCCATATACAAAAAAAGACAAAGACAAACTGGAAAGGGTACAGAATCAAGCTGCAAGATTCTGTATGAACAACTATGAAAGAGGTGCTAGTGTCACGGAAATGAAAAGAAACCTACAGTGGGTCTCACTGGAAGACAGAAGAAAGATGTCCAGACTATGCATGATGTACAAAATGACTAATAAACTGGTGGATGTCCCAACTACTAAGTACCTAATACCAGCCCAGAAGAGAACAAGAAATAGCCATGCATTCACGTACCAGAGTTATCAACCAAGGATTGAGGTGTTCAAGAATTCATTCTTTCCTAGAACTATCGCAGAGTGGAACTCACTGTCACCAAGTACAGTAGGGACATTGTCAATAGATAGATTTAAACAATGTCTAGAGCTAGAAGTTCAAGGGTTAGGTGTAACAAGTCGATCGGTGTAATATAGCTAGCTGCCGCCGCGCCGCGTGCCTGCGAAGCTGGTGTGTTACGCCGAAAGGCGGTTATACCGGCTATACAGATACAGATACAGAAACAAGAAATGATACCTATATTGTGCCAAGTTTACTGTCAACTATTACAACATAAAAATAAACGTTTTCAATCATTGTACAAGTGGTTTTGATTCAGTGGGAAGTTCTGGGAACATCACATATGAAAAGGAATGAAATACATCACTGCATCTAAGTCATTTGCAAGTAAAAGACAGAACAATAAATCAGAGGTTTGTTTTGTCTCCTCTCTTAATATTTATCTGCTATCCACCTTCCAGCATGGCAACAGACATTCTTGACCATTTTCGGCATGTTGACCACGTACTGTCAGAGGACAACAAAATTTCTTCTTCTTTTTGCCAAAATCAGGCGAAAATCAATGCTGATGTCATCCATAAAAATTACTTGCCGTGGCCTAAGAGATGTGCCCTCGGGAGATAAACAGCTGTTATCATGGCCTTCGATACGCGTACTAGTATCAGTCTTTGAAATCATTTTACGGACAGCAGGAGGCATATTGGTCACCTTCAGAAGACGTCTTTTAACAAACAACCGGAAGAAACCAGAAACAAAGCATTCTTACGTCTTTTATCAAACAATAAATTGTCTCTTGGTGTGTAGGCCAGCGCTAGCGCTTGCGAATGTTTTTTTTTTGATTTTTGCAAATGAAAACCCTTTGCTGACCGTCAGTTCATTGACATAGCACGCACCACTGCACGTCACAAGAAATGGCACCCATACTCGTCCCCCAGTCATGTGGCTAAGGATCAGTTTTACATCTAAATCTACATGCACGTACACACACACACACACACACACACACACACACGCACACGTACGCGCGCGCACACACACATACGTACACACACACGCGCACACACACACACACACAAACACACACACACACACACACACACAGAGAGAGAGAGAGAGAAAGAAAGAAAGACTAAGAGAGAGAGGGGAGGGAGAAAGAGAGAGCTGGCTATTTTTTCAACACGTCTTTTACCCCCTTCTTCCAATACTAACTAAATAAATGTGCTAAATAATCAAGAGACAAAGAGAAAGAGAGTTAGAGAGGGGTGGGAGAGTTTGGAGACGTAATAATGAATTAAAATTTTTTGTAAGAATAATACCAATCAAACGTGAACAAAAGCTTGGAGCATAGTCCCTGCAACATGAGGGAATAATTCAAACTGTCACTACACTACACTACAAAACCAAGCTACAGCCGTTATTTTGGCTCACTGGTTTAATGTTCCCCAGCTTGGGTTGTTTTGAAACATCCCAGAACTAATTTTCTGTTACGCTAAGAAGCCTAGATCGGGTTACCGGAGTACGCAAATATAACAGGTGGCACGGAACAGAGCGGCAAAACTGTAATACTAATAAAGTTTCCGAGCCGATAACAGACGCCATTTCTCGGTAACATAACCCGGCCGCGAATACACAACACGCGCGTGTTTTTGCCCAAAGGACCTGACAATAAGCCTCGTTATTGATGGAACTCTATACTCATAGGATCTACTGTAATAGCGTTGAGTACACCTCAGTACGGCGTAATTGGGGCGCCTGCGTCAGCGCGAGCGGCGGTGACGTTGGACCTGGATCACAATCTCTAAATATAGACTCTCAACGGCGCGCAACAAAGAACCTTTCACAATAATGAAGGAGCCAAGTGCTGGCAGCAAGTTGTTGAAGTGTTTGTGATAGAGTTGCCCATTTATTTTAGTCGTGACGGTAGCTAGCTTGCAGAGTAAAAAAAAGTTGAGTTTTATCCATTTAATTGATGTATCCTGTTCAAACATACTTATATGTGTAGGGAGAACGCTACATGTAATCTTACAGGTAGTGTACTCTCAATACATGTAGCGTAAACCCCTTTGGGGCTTTTCCGAAAATGCATCCGTGTTTTCGTGAACAAATCTACCATGTATATACAGCGACAGCTATCAGTGTATATTTACCGCTAGAGCGCATTGCCAAATATTAACCCGCATAAAAATATCTAACCTATTCGATCGCACCTCTTGAGATTCGCAGATATCTTCAAAGCATAACGTTTAAACAACCCAAACATATATAGTACAGTGTACCTGATCGGATTACATACATAAATCAAGATCTCTGTCTAAAATGCGCTGGCTACATTATTAAACATATTCGATTTACACCCACGATGGGTGAGTTAAACACATCGCGTAGGAGTTGTAGTTCACAGGAAAGCAGGCCTCTTTCCCTGAAAATCCCCCTAGGCCTGTTCAACTGTGGCACAGCAAAGCCTGTCGACATCAATTTTAAGAGGTTAAAAATTCCTGGGACAGTAGGGTTCAAATCGATTCACGTCTATCTTTCATCAGCAATTTAGGGCATTCTAACAGCGGTCACACCTACACCTGACTTGAGTTAAAAGGCGGATTTGCGAAGCCCGCACGCACAGCCTGCGGGAGAAAGTTCTCCTCCCATATAAATCAAATCAAATCAAACTTTATTGCACGACAATTGTAGCAGGTACAATGTATGGCAACTTTTTCACATGAACGACATACTAAGTCGGTATCCACACTATTACTTATATCTATCTAACACTTATAAGTTATGTATTTCAAAACTTGTCTAATACTACACTATCTTAAAAGAAAAAGAAAAAAGTGATGTACATTGTAATATACATGGAACAATGCTTACATGGAAATGTATATAAGGAGGTGAGCCATCGATTTCCCCTTTGTGCCCAAAATAGCAGGTTGTTTGACGTCACACGGACGTCACCGTCCTATTGACGATCCCATTCTGCCTCATTAATTTCACCCCGGCTCCTGATTGGCGGATAGTCTTGTTTGTACACAGACGTCACAAGCAGCTGGGTCAGCCCAAGTTTTTCCCATGCAAATCACGTCGTCCCCAGAAATATCGACCAATCAAACGACAGTATTTCTGTGACGTCATAGAATTATACGCCGACTTACCTACCGAAACGTTGACCACAGTCGCAGTACAGAAAGTAGTACCAACGATTTTGCGGAAATGTTAGTAAAACCTTGCCTACTCTGACACTTTTGTTACCAGAATATCGATATCCGTGATATACTAAATATTTTACCTCGGTAATTTGAAATAGTTAGGGGATTAAAGTTGATTCAGTGTAGGAGTTGTGAGGACTAAGTACGTGCCAGTGGGCGGATCACCCCTGTGTATATATACTGCCCAGACCAGCTGAGGGTAGTTCACTCCAGACGCAAGCGGGGACGGCTGTGGCTGACTGACAAAAACACTCCTGTATATTTTATACTTTTATATTTTTCTACACCGACATCTTCACTGCCCAACCGGGGATCCAGGAACAAGTAATATATATTACAGGTAAGCTGTGTTCCTCTTGTTGTTGTTGATATTTAGGGTGGTTCGGGAAAGTTATGGTTCGTCCTCGCCCGGCTGTTGTACGGCATCGCCTGACAACGCGCACCGCCCCGTTTTGTTCAGTCGTCCCGCACCGCCCCTTTATAATGTTACCGCAGAATCTACACTGTCTGAACGGGATGGTGGGGGAAAAGATTACGAAAATCATTCTTCAGTTATTCTAGGCTATCGGTGTGCTGAGGTACAACAATACTGTATGCTGTTTCTTGGGGGATTTTTCTGAGCAAATCCCCCTGGGCTGACCAAGGTGACCCCATGAAAACAAACTGTATTTTTGTCATCAAAATGCTTACTCGGTGAACTCTGTCATTTTATTTGAATGATATACCAATTTAGTGTAAAGAAAAACATATATGGACATATTTTGGTGAGATTTTGCCACTGAAAATGAGCTTCGAACCCTCCCATATGTTGTTTCGTGTGAGTGAAAATTTCCAAGGTGACCTCACTATGACGGCACACGCAGGCAAACGTTCAATGTTTTCTCTGTGACGCAGCGATCAGCACTGGGTTATCGGGGTTTTCAGCCTCCGCTTCAATGTCGTCCGTAATTTTTCAGTGAAAACGCGTGGAAAATGCGTTTCTCTGGTTTTCTGACCACATTTCCCTTTGTCCATGATGTCCACAGTTGCTTCTTTTTTTAATCCTTTGTCTTTGGCGTGTCAAAGGAAACAATAGGGGGGAATGGGGCCAGCAGCTGGCCCTGGATCTCAATAGGAAGACATTCTCTCCCAAACAAAAAGAAGTGACCGGATCTTTTGCATCAAAATCGAACGGTTGTTATTTGCTGGATCATTAGATCCTGGACTGAAGGGGATTTTTCTGACGAAAATATCGATGAGGTTTAGCAACTCGAGTGGTGCAAAGGTTATATTTGTGCGTAACACCAGTGGGGGGCTTGCTTACCAAGAGGGATTCAGTATGCATACAAGGGCCCAGCGCGTGAAATTCACTAATAGGTGCCAATCACCATGAAAATAAACATTGTTAGTTGTATATATGTTCCAGCAGTGTGTTGTGGGTGTTTGATTTCTTTTGTTGTTCCTTGACTTTTTAAATTTTATCAGTGGTTTATAAGTTTTTGATTGTCTACTTAGGCAATCAGATATGATTGTTGTCTAGTTTACAACCTGTGATTGTAAGAAAAACATCTATTAGACACTGGTGATATAATCTTGTCAGCTGCTAAGTGACCGGGTTTTCATCATCACACTTTGACAGCATGTACAGTCTTGTTCCGAGTGCCAGTTTTCTGATCATTTATCTACTTTAAACCACAACAGAGACAAGCATTGAAGAAAGACGGAAGAGAGTTTGGAAGTCAGACGTTTAAACACAGCATCAGCCAACTACGAAGACAGCCATGCAGGTGGAGATCCAAGTCGCCCTCAACTTCCTCGTGTCCTACCTGTACAACAAGCTTCCCCGCCGGCGGGTGAACATGTTTGCAGAGGCTCTCGAGAAGGGACTGCTTGCCAAGTTTGAGGGTCACTGGTACCCGGAGAAGCCCTTCAAAGGGTCTGGGTACCGGTGTATCCGGATCAGCACCACCCTGGACCCGGTGGTTCTGAAGGCCTGCGACGCCAGTGGGCTCGACATCACCGACGTCAAGGGCCACCTTCCCGAGGAGCTGAGCATCTGGGTGGACCCCAAGGAGGTCTCCTACCGCATGGGGGAGCGGGGGCCCGTGAAGATCCTCTACGCCGCCGAGGAGGAGGACGTGGCATGCGACAAGGAGATCCTCTCCTCCAGCGGGTTCAACCCAGACGCCCAGGTGTTCCGTCCAATCGAAAACACCCTGGGGACCCTCTCGCCCGAGAAGTCGCCCTCCCCGTCCTCGGGCATGATGTTCAGCAGCAGCTCGGTCAGCCCGACCATCTTCCAGCGCAACAACACCCCGACCATGACGACGGCAGAGTTTGCCCAGACCAAGTTCGGCTCCACCAAGCCCAAGACCCAGAAGAAGTCCGGCCCCCGCATGTCCCCGACGGAGTACATGAAGCAGAAGGCCTCTCAGTTCCCCACAAACGTCCCCACAAACAAGCCGGCACGCGCGCTGTCCCCCAATGCAAAGGAGTTCGTCTACAACCCCCAGCCAAAGATGATGGCAGACACTCTGGGCTTCAACAACCTCTTCATCCAAGACACCTTCGGGTTCGGCCTGGGCGGGTTCGACCAGATGCCGTCTCCCAACAACCTGAACGACAGTGCCAAGTCCTACCTGGATGGCCTCAACTTCAACCTGAACACCATCCAGTACCCCGGGCAGCCCTACCCCCAGGTCATGGTGGCTAACTGAGCTGACAGGACTCTGGCTATTACGTCAGCATCTCACGATGTCTTTATTATGTGAGGTCCACATAAGGCATGCTCGTACCCGAAAGCTGCTAGATAGGACTCTTAGTTGAAGTCCAGAAAGTTGAAAGTGCTAAAAGTGGAAAAAGGAAAACGATACAGGAAGTTCTGAGACTTCCACAGTTTGAATAGAACATGTTAGGAACTGTTATTTACTCCTGTTAGGAAGGACTCTGTTTTCATGTGACGAAAAGTGGGCCAGCTTGATTTTATGACAAAAAGGTTGCAATGTGTTCTCAACAGGGCAGGGATATGTGTGTGTTGATGAAATTTTATCAGAAGGAATTTTTGGAATGAAAACAAGACTTTTGTATTGAAGGATGTGTGTTATCTTGGACATTTGAAATGTTCAATGTCAGTTGGAATATCCATCTCATACTTAGATGACAAAGACTGCCATTTGGGGCCAGTGTTGGTTTCTCCACACTGCTGTGTGGGCACCACTTGTTGCTGCACTACTACCTAAACAAGTGTTTCAGTACCGGAGTTGTTTTAAAGACTTATGTTGTTTCTTCTGAACTGTACTTGAGGTATAGCACACTTTAATCTTGAGGTGGACTTTTATGGAATTTGAAGGTTTCTATGATAATGGTCATTGTCAAGTCATTGGCATATTTTGAGAAGGACCTTTATGTAGTGTTGACACAGAGAAACTGAATGGTTTGTAATGAATTGTGCAAATTGTGTAAGTATGGCTATGTTCTTACGGTTTTCTATATTTGTGAAAGCCATTTGGAGACCATAGTGTATGTGTATACTATATTCATTTTCCAGCTTAAGAGTATATATTGATATACTTTGTACAAGATACACCGTAAGGTTGTAAGCCTTATCTTTTCTACATTTGCTGTATTAAAATCCAGAGAAATAGAGAAAGCTAAAGCAGCTTTACTTTTTATACAAAAGCCTATAAAACCCAACTGTATAGTAAGAGGGTTAGAGATTCAATATATCCGCAGATGAGTTGTATTTTCTTTCCAGATGTAAAGTTTCCTATCTTGTACAATTCCAATGTCAATTCCGGAAGTATTAATTTTCTACTGAATTTGTGCAATAAGTCAGTATGGAACGTGTACATGGGGGTAAAACAAATGTCATATCTCAGTTGGACAGAAGAGTATACAGTAGGTGTTGCATCATAATTGTTTATATTGTTCAGATTTTTTAAGTTTGTATTAAAAATTTACAGAAAAATATTTTGAAACTGATGGCTCCTGTTGTTTTTTTTACTGTAGTCTGAATGATGTGAGAAGGATGGTAATACATTTACATACATAATGTATTGTACATTAAAACCAACAATGAAAACATGTTGTTTAGAGCTTAGAAAACAATTGAACAAAGGACAGGTCAAGCCCCAGTTAACTAGTAGCCTAAAACATGCATCATGCAACAATATGTCAGTGAGCAATAGATGTGTGAAGGTGAAAGAAAAGTAGAACTAAGCAATTAAATACTAGAGCAGGGGATTAAATGGCTGAGAATAATCCTACGTGAGGAAGCGGCTTACAAAGATCCATCCTTTGGTTCTGTCCTGCATAGTATCACTTTGGTCCAATAGTTCTTGGTCATGAGGAATTGACTGGTCCCTCGGTGCACCTCCTGCCCACTGGTTTTCCCATTTCCCCCCTTGAGTGGCTGCAGCTTTATAGCTGCCTAGGCTGGTTGTGATTGGATGTCTAACCAGGAATAGGGAACATTCTGGAATGGCTCCAGTAAAGGTTCATGACTGCTCAGTCAGCCAAGGTGAATCAGTCACTGTGTCCAATACAGGCATAAACAGGGCCTGATCAATGCAGTTAACGGGGCTAGCGCCCGTGTGTGTTAGACAAGTTTGGTTTGGAGGATTTTCTTGTGTGGTGGGATGACGTAGCAGAACATAATGCTGCAAAAATTTTATCACCACGTATTCGAAGTTTCAAAACAATAGCCTAAACAGCACTTTTCCCAAATGGAGGGTATAGTTGGGGTATAAGCGGAGTTTCACAAAACACCATAGTACTCTAACATTTGTACATGATGCAGGTTTCTATTGTGCTATCTTGACCACCCGTGAAAGAAAAATTGCAGTAAAATAATGATTGTCTTTTAATACATGTAGTCTGGATAAAAATGTCTTCCCTCAGTTCTCCTATTAACCAGTGCAGTAGTTGCAAATAACTGGGCATTGCTAAATCCAATGCATGTCAACAACATCAGTATGTCGCAAAGGGCAAAGTTGTTCCATGCGTAAAGCCCGGCTTAAATCAGATTACTAATTCATCCTGCGCTAATTCTTTCTGGGGTGACCTCTGCCGCCCATATAACGTGACAGATTGACCAGAAACTGATGGCATTTGTGACCACACATCCTGACCTGCGCCAAATTAACATGCAGCGGTCTGCCCGTTTCGGACACCTGGAGTCACCCTCATGAGCCCTGGCGGAATGCAGAATTCTTGGGTTGGGTTGGTGATGGAAATATTTTGATTGGGTTCTTGTGGGAAGCCA